ACAACAAAAAACTGCTTCATAAATAGAGGTGTAAACAGGTGCAAAAAATAACGAAGCAGGTGAAACTAATGTGAGTGATGAAGAACGTAAAAAGACCAAAACTAAGGTGAAACAAAAAACAGGAAGTAATGTCAAAATAAAAGCCGGACGGGAAGCAGCGGAACTGAATCATGACAATTACACACTGCAGTTTGATTTCTATTTGCTCCCATTTATTTTCTCCTTTTATTACCTCCACCAAAGAGGTTATGTTGGACAACAGAACAGATCTGTATGGTCTGGTGGCAGGGAGGTTATATTTTTCTACCGTTTGTTTGTTTTGGTTGTCTGGTTTGTCTATCCAGTGTCCTGGGGCACCTTCCACTAATCCAGTGCTCTTCACCTGCAAGACTGGAAGACATGATGACTGAGTTCATTAACTAAACCCCTCAGCATAGAGACATCAGAAACCACGTGTCAGGCTGCAGCTCACCTGCCTCCCATGTGTCCAGGGCCCAGAGCTTGTCTTGTGCTCACCAGTACCCCATGTATTCGTATCAGATCCCCACAACTACAGTTGCCGAACTGGGACCCTCCTGAAGTTTCACCAGCACCATCACCACTCATTTCATACCTCTTTTCGTTTTTACATTCCCGTATTAAATCTTCAAATTACTTTTCCATCTCCTGAGTGCTGCATTTGGGTCCTTTAAACTGTTTATGTGACACATTATGCGGAGACTGAACTGCCCTGGCGGGGGGTTGTGCTCTCTGCTGTCTTGGACCCATTATGATTCTTCTAATGCACATGTTGTAAATGTGTGTACATCTTGTTTCATACCTGCCTGCCACTCACATTCCACCTCTCTGTTTGGGATATACTGTATGCATGCACTACTGTGAGAATAGGGCGTATGGATTCCAGTGGCGGGCCGTGTGTAGCAGATGTAATTAATCGCTCATATATATATTTCACCGAATCCATTCTCTGCCGTCAGGTTTGTCATGCAAACTGTTTAAGATCCTCCCTTTCTTGTTTTTTTTTTGAGCTTCTATTTTGTTAAGTTTTATTTCTGTGATGTGATTTCCTGTGCGCGATGTCACTTCCTGTTAATTCGCGCTGCTCTCGATGCCACCAGACCATACAGATCTGTTGCGCCGAATGCAAGCAAATGTTGCTGAGATGGTTAAATTCGTGTTTCTATTCACTGTTTAGTACCTGTTTAAAGATTATGGAGTTTTTTTTGTTATTTACAAATCGAGTACAGCATGTAAATAGTCCTTATGCCAGGCTACTGGGCACCCGAGCGGGTTTTTACGTGGCTCGCCATTCTATGTTTTCTTTACAGTATGCACTGTGTATGTGCCAAAATACAAGGGAAAAGGTATTCATCTCAATGGTAGCAACAGGATCCAAGCCACCAAACAGAATAGTGAGCTGGACAAAGGAGGACATGGAGGCTATGATATGGTTTAGGAAATAATTTCTGTGTTCATAAAACATACTGTGCTGATGTGAAGAGCCAGTGTGCCTAAATGTTCCTCAACACATTTACTCTTAGGCAGTGGCGGGCCATGCATTTGGTACCTGGGCCTTCAGTGGGTACTTACCCAACTTAATTCACCACTATCATGTCGCAATTATAGAAACCATCAATGCTATACAAAAACGCAATATAATAACGTGTGGCATTACAGAGAGAGAGGTATTTCGTGTATTAAGGGTGAATATTGTTTTTACTAAAGTAAGAAACCCAGTTAAGACAACTCCAAAACCTCTACACTACAACCGCAACTGTGAAACCTGCGTTTCAGTTCCATCGTAAGCCCTTTTCTAGTTTTGCTCTGACCAAACAATCAGAGGACAGAAAATCTTGACATCATTGTGGGCCAGCTAGCTGGCCCTGTGAGGCGAATTTGAAATCTGATTGGTTAAAGAAACAGTCCCATTGCTAATCTAGTTTAAGTTACATGGGCCGGCACTTCTGATTCTGAAGTCCCTGGGCAGATTAGATTGACATAGCAACACATAGAAGCTGAAATGGATTCTCATATAAACTATTCCTCATGAAGGCCTATGACTTATTCTGTGAGCCTTCTTGTGGCTGGCTAGAACCATCCACAGTTTTAT